GAGGTTTAGCTTTATAATGAAGTATATTCTTTCTTGCTTGCTGTCGGGAATAAGAAAATGTCTTTCTTAGATGTTATGTGCAAAGTTATTTTATAGACTAGAATTTTCTTCATTCTTTGATGATAAAATAAAGGCCATACATACTACTCTGAGTTATAAACATATACAGCATCCTCTAATATATTGTTCAAATGCACTGTATGAAGAAAAGTTTATGTGGTTCTATTTTTTTAGACCCAATTAAAATATCAAGATCTACTTGATGCTCTATATCAGCATTGTCCAATAGAAATGTAACATGCACCCCACACCTAATTTTAAGATTTTTGTAGACGTGTTTAAAAAATTTTTTAAAAGGCAGGGTTAATTTTAGTAATATATTTTACTTAAATATATCTAAAATATTTTTCAACATGTTAATATTAAATTTTTGAGAGATAATAAATGTTTATTAAGTTTTAAGCCACAAAGTTTTTCTTCCATTTTTTAAAAAATCGTGGTAAAATACACATAACATAAAATTTACTACATTTTCCATTTTTAAGTGTGCAGTTCAGTGTTGTTAGTTCATGCTGTTGTGCATCCGTTAGGACTGTCCATCTCAGAACTCTTTTCGTCTTACAACACTGAAACTCTATACCCATTAAACAGTAATTTCCTATTCCTGTCCTCACCCCAGCCCCTGACAACCACCATTCTACTTTCATGTTCTATGATTTGATTACAATTATTGAGATATTTTTACATTCTTTTTTTTTTATACAAAGTTTTTAAAGAGTATGCATTTTATATTTGCAGTGCACAGCTCGGTTTGGACTAACCACTTTTCAAGTGCTCATTAGCTGGCTATTGGCTACTGTTTTGGATAGCTCAACTCTGCTCTGTAATAGATACTGAATCCATATATAGTTGACCTACGAACAGAATATTACTATGTTATGTGAATTAATTCTGTCATGACATTTCTGTTGTACTTAATGTTTTTTCCTTTTTTAAATTTCAAAATATTAAGGGGGTACAAATGTTTTTGTTACATGGATAGCTTTCATAGTGCTTAAGTCGGGGCTGTTAGTGTGCCTATCACCCAAATAGTGTTCATTGTACCTGTTACTAGGTTTTTAACCCTCCCTCCTCCGCCCTACTCCTTTCTTGATTCCCAATGACTTTTACTTCTCTCTGTGTCTGTGCGTTCCTATCAATTAGTTCCAAATTATTAAAGGGTACATGTGGTGTTTTTCTTTTTCCATTTTTGAGATACTTCACTTACGATATTGGGCTCCAGTTCCATCCAAATCGCTGCAAAGAACATAAATTCATTTCTTTTTATGGCTGAGTAGTACTCCGTAGTGTATACATACACCACGTTTTGTTAATCCACTCATGAATTGATGGACATTTAGGTTGATTCCACATCTTTGTGATTGTGAATTGTGCTACAGTAAACATTCGAGTGCAGGTGTCTTTTTGATAAAATTGACTTCCTTTCCTTTGGGTAGATACCCAGTAGTGGGATTGCTGGATTGAGTGGTAGCTCTACTTTTCTCTTACTGTTTTCCATAGGGTTGTACTAATTCGCAGTCCCACCAACAGTGTAGGAGCGTTCCTTTCTCTCTGCATTTATGCTAGCAGTGTAGGAGCCTTCCTTTCTGTCTGCATCCATGCTAGCATCTGTTTTTTGACTTTTTAATAATAGCCTTTCTGACAGGGGTAAGGTGATATCTCATTGTGATTTTAATTTGCATTTCCCTGATGATTGATAATGTTGAACATTTTTTCATGTTTATTGGCCATTTGCCTATGTTCTTTCAAAAGCCTCTGTTCTGTTCATGTCTTTTGCCCACTTTGTAATGGGCTTGTTTTTTTCTTGCTGATTAATTTGAGTTCTTTGTACATTCTGGATATTAGCCCTTTATCAGATGTATAGTTTGTGAATATTTTCTGAAAGCTATTTGCTCTGTTGATTATTTCCTTTGCTGTGCAGAAGCTTTTGAATTTAATCAAGTCCCATTTATTTGTTTTTGTTGTTGCTGTAATTGCCTTTGGGGTCTTAGTCATAAATTCTTCACCTAGGCCAATGTCTAGAAGAGTTCTTCCTGTATTTTCTTCTAGAATTTTTGTGGTTTCATGCCTTACATGAAATATTTTATCCATCTTATTTGTCATCTAGAACAATAGGCTGATCTCATGCTTAGCAAACTTTCAAAAATGGTGTGCTAAGATTCTGAATGGTGGTATCTATATAGTTGGATAGGCACTATTGACCATATGCCTGTGTTGAAGAAAGTTGGAGTTGGAAAAGTTGGTAGTTGTGATCTACCAGCTCTTAGGAGCTTTCGTTTAGGCATGTGTACTTATTGAAAGGATGTGTGTGTTGGGAGTCAGTGATTTGCTAGAAGAACTTACAGAACTAAGGGAAATGTTGTTAAACTCACAGTTATGATTTATTACAGCTAAAACACACAGATTAAAATCAACACGGGGGAAAATTTATATAGGGTGGAGCCCAAGAGAAATTAGGTGTGAACTTCCAGTTGTCTTCTTCTAGTGGAGTTGCATGGATAGCACTCCATTCTTCCAGCAACCATGTGTGACAGTACATGCAAAGAGCTTTAACCAGGGGAGCTCACCTGACTCTTGGTGTCCAGGATTTCTACTGGGGATCAGTTAGGTAGGCATAGAGTGCCCATATGACTGACTTTAGCTGCTCAGTCTGCAGCCTCCTCTATCCTTCCTCTCCCCAAGAGTCAAACTGATACAGTGTGGCCCAGGGCTCCAGACATACGAAATAAACATTCACCATGATTCATGTGTGACCCAAGGTTTCAGGTATACAGAGACACTCTTAGGCAGCATATTGCAGGGGCACAGAGGTTATCTCCCAGGAGCCTCTCATAGACAAGTCTTTTCTTCATAATGTGCAATGTGTAAGCACCTTAAGTCTGCTGAGTTACTTCTTTGCTGCACAGGATGATTCTGGAGCTTTACAGAGGAGGATGTCACTACGTATTGCAAAGTCTTAACAGAAACAAAAGGGTAGATGAGAGTGGCACTAATACCTAATATAATATGTTTAAACAAATGGCATGGATTACTGACTATGAAGGTAGAGCTATAAAGGTTGACTATCAGAAGTGAAGCATATAGCAATTGGGACAGTCTTACAGAGTTAACAGTTTTCTTAGTTGGAATCAACTCTTATAGTTTACCAACTGCCTCTTATAAATGCACCTTCCTTGATGAAATTGATGTATTTTCTCTTCGAATTCATATCAAAACCTGTACTTCTGCCTGTGATGGAGTAACTTGTAGCAGACTAAAGCTCCTGCCGACAACTACTAGAAATACTAGAGGTAAAAATCATTTTGAAGGCATTATAGAGCTTCTGAGTCAGTCAAAACTTGAGGAGTCAAGATTCAGAAGAGAAGAGGGACAGACACACTTTGTGCTGGGTTTCCTCTTGAGGCATTTTCCAGCTCTTAAGCTTTTTGGGTTAGAGGATAAAAACTGAGCAAGGCACAAGTGGACCTCTCAATAGTTTGTTATTGTTGTTCTGGCACTAGTTTACAGTTGAAGGACCACACCATAGGAGTGGGATCTACCCAGAGGTAGGCTGATCTTCATAGTGTCTTAAATCCTCTGTCAAGTGTTCAGTCCCTAGTTGGATTGAATGGATATATTCTGACTGTGCCTGCTAGAAAAAAATTTAATCTTCCCTGGAGGAAGGTAACATCATCCAGAGCCTCTGCGTTTTTTTCATGCACGTTTACTTACAGTCATTCACATGCAATGTCTGGCATTGTATAAAAAATTATTAGACATACAATAAGAGCAAGAGAAGAAAATCAGTGATAGAAACAGACCCACAAATTATGCAGACTTTGGAATTATAGACAGGAGCTTTACAATACTATAACTAATCTGTTCATGAAATAGATGCTGGGGTGGAAAATTTCACTAGAGAACTGGAATCTGTAGAAAAGAATCAAATGGAGAAATTCTAGAGTTGATTTGACAGTAAGTACCTTGTTTCATCATATCTAAGACTCTATTGTGAATTGTACCATTAATTTATGTATGTACCTCTAAGAAAGAAAAATGTTGTCAGTTACATTTTGACATCCCATTAATTTTGAGATATATCCTGATTTCAAAGATGTTATAATGTGGAGGAAAAAGTAAATGGTAACTCTAGTTTTAACTCTCAGTTTTGTCATTTATTATTTGTTTGACTTGGGTGAGGGGACTTCTTTGAGCATATATCCTCATGTGTGAAAAGGGGATAGTAGTCTTCCCTTTAGTTAGGAAGACTAAATTAATTAAGAGGTATGAAATTATCTAGTATGGGATAGACATTTGATTTGACTTTCCTTTCTTCCTTCTAAAACTGGTACTGTTGTGATAGTTGGCTCTCCTTTCTTCCTTCTAAAACTTGGTACTGTTGTGATATCAAAAAGAGACCCTTAATAGCCTGCCAAGGAAAAACAAAAGAAAACCCCAATATATTGGCTATATAAGAACTTAAAAAGGAAAATTCTTTTTTGGAGCCATTTAAGTGTCAAACATCATTCTTTATCCTCCCCCCTTACCTCACCCACCTCCTGGTTATAGCTGAAGATATCATTGACTGGTTCCAATATGATGATTGATATTTATGTGCTGGAACCTAAGCATCAAAATTAATGTTGGTATTTTTTACTATATTGGCTTTTAGAAAGCACATTTTAAGAAAATTTCCGATCCTTCTAAATTTAGTTGTGATGCTTAGAGTCCCACTCTTCAGTTATGTGGAATTCCTGCTCTTCTGATGCTGCCAGATAAATATAGCGTTAATCAGTGGGTGGGACTTTTTAAGCAAGGGATTGAATTTTGCGATGTTTGGCAGAAGTGAGGATTCCTCATTATATTCCTATTTTGAAGATTGCCAGTAAACCCAGAATGACATTTTTCTTGAGCAGTAAGATATTCATAGCTTTAATTTTGTGTTCATTCTTTTCTTTCAGGATTTTCCAAGCCACATTCAATTGATAGGATGAAAAAATTTAAGAGAAGGCTTTCCCTCACACTTCGAGGAAGCCAGACTATTGATGAATCATTGTCTGAATTGGCTGAACAAATGACTATTGAAGAAAACAGCAGCAAGGATAATGGTAAATATTTGGGGTGAAGGGAGATACTTTCCCCTTTTAATTACTTTGGAAATAGAATGTAAATTTACTTTCCAGATAAGTTCATAATAGCTTCCTTTTGTTTATTTCTCTTATTTCTCTGGTTTCTTAGGCAACAGAAGCCCGTATTACTTTTGCTCGCTTACTTACTGGAATATTCCTCTCTCACTCCAATAGTGTTACTATACCTGGTCTCAAACCCTGATGAATTCTTCTATCCTATGTATCCTCCCATTTCCTCACCAGTTCTTAAATAAGAATGTATTTTATAATATTATCCTAATTGTTAAATAACTGTTTTTAAATTAGCATTTAAATATTTTTGTTATTCTTATAACCTAAATTATCACATCTTAAATTAAGGGCATAGGAAGTTTCTGTTTGTGGCTTCGTCATAGTTTTATAACTGTCTATATCCATGTTGACTATCCACGTAGATTACAAGGTTCATCACATGAGTGAATTTTATTATTTTCTTATTTTATGTTTACCACAGAGTGTGCCCATAGTATTGAGAGCACTTGTGGTAGGCATATAATGTTTCACACATTTGAAAATGCTTTTTACAATGTAAAGTAGTAGTACACAGATGTTATTAATAATATAAAGTAAAAGGAGCTTGTTAAACGGATTAAAATATAAAATCCTGATGAAACTTACAGAACAAGGCTACATGTTCAACGCTGAAATAGCCCTAGGGATGTCATAATAATAACCCATGATAATAACCAGGAAAGAGCTGACATGAATGGCTGCCAATATGTCATGGTATGCAGAGTATCTGCCAAGCCTTCCTTGCCTGTGCCTGAAATTCTGCTGTTAGACATTTGTGGCAATGGGTAAAAGCATGAACACCTGCACCCCTTCCATTGAGTGCAGGTGCTTGTGTTGTGAGAGAGGGAGGGGTATAGTGGAATGGGCTCTGGACTTTAAGTTAAAAATCATGGGATGGGACCTGGGATACACTAATATACTTAAACACTTACTAGTTGTGTGACTCTGAGTAAGTCATTTATACTAGCCAGGCTTCAGTTTTCTTATTTCCTTTCCTCAGAATAGTCATTATTTGCTCAAGGTTACCTAGCTCATTGTTGGTAGGGTCAGTACTTTAGAACCTAGGTTTCTTCACTTCAAAGCCTGCAGCATTGCATCTCTTCTGTCGCACCATCTTCCTTTTATTAAGGTTTTCCTTGATATCACCTGTTTTGTTTTTAACATTGGAGAGGAGAGAGGATGGGCTCAATAGGAAATTTAAAATAATTTGGATATAGTTACATGGAGGAGGGGAAAATTTTACATTTAGGTTAAATCTCAAAGATGATTTTATAATCTTTCTTTTATTCCTCTTTCCAGAGGATCTCTGCTAGATACATGGAACAAAATCCTTAATTCTTTCTTAGATGCCTATTTAATTCTTGATATTAATTAAGCCCAATGTGTTCATTTTTATAATAGAAGAATCTTGCCAGTATGTTTGTCAGTGATGTTTAGGAATAAAATAAGCACAGTATACATCTTGGTGGATGGTTTCTGGGACACATTCTTCATGAATATTTGGCTACAAGACAAATCTCTCTTTCTTTTTTTTTTTTTTTTTTTTTTTTTTTTTTTTTTTTTTTTTTTTGAGACAGAGTCTCACTCTGTTGCCTGGGCTAGAGTGCCGTGGCGTCAGGCTAGCTCACAGCAACCTCAAACTCCTGGCTCAAGCCATCCTTCTGCCTCAGCCTCCCGAGCAGCTGGGACTATAGGCATGCGCCACCGGGCTTGGCTGATTTTTTCTATATATTTTTTTTTAGTTGTCCGATTAATTTCTTTGTATTTTTAGTAGAGACGGGGTCTCGCTCTTGCTCAGACTGGTTTCGAACTCCTGAGCTCAAACAATCCGCCCGCCTCGGCCTCCCAGAGTGCTAGGATTACAGGCGTGAGCCACCGCGCCCGGCCCCACGAATCTCTCTTTCTAAAGAAGTGTGAGTCAAAGAAAATGAACATACATTTTGGAGACCTAATTAATGTTTTAGATTAACTGCATATTTTCTGTAATATTTTAGTATTGATGGGAGTGACTGCCTAGTGTGTTTGGGGTCTCCTTTAGGGGTGTTGAAAATATTTTGGAACAAGATACAGGTAATAGTTGTACCACATTATAAATGTACCAAATTTCACTGAATTATGTACTGTAAATGGTTAATTTTATGTTATGGGAATTTCATCTCAATGAAAAACTCAGTTCATCTGAGATACACTTTCTCCTTATAGTTGCTCTCAATTTGATTGATAAAAGTCTTAATACTATTTTAGATATATCACAGAAAGTTATGTTAAGTAATTAGCCTTGAACTTATTTTTCCTATAGTGGGAAGATATATTGTGATTATTGAATTTGGTGAGACTAGGTGACAATTTAAATATGAGGGAGAGAATAGAACAAAATTAAAGAAAGACGAAATTATGTTTTATTGTGCATATATTATTTGGGACTTATTGATACAACTGAAATTCTTCAGCTAATAAAGTGTACCACATGCACATATTCCCAGGAAGTGTGTTCAAACAAACTTAACAGAATGTCACTTCACATGATTACTTAGGATTTGGAGTAACCCCAAAAGGCAAAGATTGAAATGGTCTGGTTTTTCCAGATACTCCAATTTCTTGTCCTGACTCCTCAGTCTGTGCACTGGGACATTTGTCATATTGTTTGAAGTCAAAAGATCCCAAATTTAGGGTAATAAATTCAGAGCCTCTGTATTGATGTGCACTTAAGTACTTCTGTTTTCTTCACTAATTGACATACCTTTTTGAATGTCCAACAAACAGGAACATAAATTCCTTTAGGCCAGGACAATGTCTTTTATAGTATACAGCATGTTTAGTCATAAGGCACATACCAGGTAGTCAGTAAATGGAGTAGTAATATGAAAACAGTCTTGAGATATGGTAAAATAAGCAAATGGATCAAAAATTGGTGGGTTATATTAGTAGTTTTGTGATTGCTGGCCAAATTTGATTATATAAGAAATATTTATTAGAACAACTGCAGATATTATTTTCTGTAAGTATTTTGACAGAGAAACTGTGTTAATTCTAGATAAGGTAACCAATAAAACGAGGTTAAATGTAATGATCTCTATTACAACTTTCTGTTTTGTTTTCTGTTTTGCTTTCTCGATCCTTCTCATGTGATCCTGGATCTTGTGCTCATAATGGAATGATTTTGGGATACTGCGAACCACAGAGCCTATTGTGAAGAATGGCAGGCCTCCTACATCTCACAGTATGCATTCCTTCCTCCACCAGTACACAGGGTCTTTCAAGAAGCCACCACTGCGGAGACCACACAGTGTTATTGGAGGAAGCCTTGGCTCCTTCATGGCAATGCCCAGAAATGGAAGCAGATTAGGTAATTTGATTATTTGTCTGTTGTATTTACTCTTCTGATTATAGGTCATGCACATAGTTAAGTGTTAGTTGTATAGAAGTCAGGCAACCTTTATTATCTGGTTTGTCAGATAAAAATCAAGTAAAGGACAGGAGGGATAGCAGAAAGATGGAACACTCACAAGAGGTAGTAGTGCTGACACTACAGAGAAGTAAAATTTGAAAACCTGTCCATCAGGAGGGAAATGAACCCTGTAAGAAATGGATGCAAGATTTCAAGATTAATGACAGCTTGGGATGGTGTTTAGTTTAAGGTCATACCTTAGTAACTCTTCAGATCATCACCATATGATAGCCCAGTGCAATGATTAGTATATATTATTATCACCTGTTATTCTGTCATTACATCCTTTTAAATAACCAGGGAAAAAATATATTTACAAGTTTCTGTTTATTTTGTTTATATATTCCTGTGGTCTTTTTTGATGGTGTCTTATTTATCTTATTTGATTTTTAAAATCACTTGAAGTATAACTATTTTATAGTGTCATTAGATACTTATATTTACTGAAGTTCATGAGAGTTTTATTCTACTGCTTATCTGCCTACTTTTTACTTTTAGCATAATAGATTATTTCCTGATGAGTTCCCTTAATTTTGGGAGTATGAGCTTATCTACAGTGGGGTTTTATTTATGGGAAATGTACATAGCCTTTATCCCTGTAGGTGCAACCCTACAGAATGGTATTCTGAAGTTGGCACACACTAGTTCATGAGAGATGAATGTTAAATTTTCAGGAATTTTGCAAACTGGCTGTTAAATGTAGCTGTCATTAAATTTTAAGTTATATAAACTTACAACTAAGTAAGCTAAATTAAAAACAAAGGTAATGAATACTCAAAAGTTGTTACTTCCTAATTGTTTTACTACTTTTTACTGTTATCTGTGTTGTGGTGATTATTTATTTCTGACATATCTTTATAGTCAAAATACTATGTAATGGTGTGCTTACTGCAGATTTCTTCCCAACTGTACATTCAGTGTCCCGTTAGTGGTCTGAAGTTGGCCATGGAGGGAGAAATCAGAAAACACTACAGATTAGCGTTTGGCATTGTCTAGTCCAGGAGTTTGCAATCTGTTTTTGTAAAGGGCCACATAGTAAATTTTTTAGGTTTTTATGGACGTATGGTCTCTGTTTGCATATTATTCTTTGTTTAATAACCCTTTAAAAACACAAACAACAATTTTAGCTCAGGAGCCATACAAAAACAAGCCTTGCTTGTTCTATTCCTTCGTTCTAGACTTAAGGAAGTAATATTGAAAATGTTAGTAATGTAGATTAAATTTAAAAGTGCATGTGTCTGTAGCTGTTACGTTGTGAATGGCACAAAAATTGAGCAAGTAAATAGTATTCTAGTTCTCAAAAGCTATTACCTGACTCAGCAAGTAAGTTGCTATCCCTGCTGACAAGTGAGTGAAGTTCTGACATAAGCCTTCATTGTTTCATGTTTGTCTTGATGGAAATGAAAATACTGATCAATAATCATGTCAGAGCTGTACTTGTTTGTTAATGACATGAGTAATTTCTTGGTTGAGTCAGATGGTACTAAAGTATTTATTTATAGTCTGATATTAATAAACTTCCTTTGTAGTCCTTGTGCAACAGGTCAGATTTTTTTTTTTAAGTCTGCCCTTTAAATCTCAAAGGTGTAGCACTTTGAGAGTGAGGCCCTTCTATGGGAAAGTCTCACTTGCAGCTCACACACCCAAGGCTTCATCTTTTATCCTCATTGTAGCCACTAAACCCAAGGACCTTCTTAGCTAAGATCAGCAACCGCTTCCAGGATCGTGACAGAGTCAATTTATGCATAACAGCTTTGGGTTTTCAGTTCTCCCTTTGTTTTTGCTTCCTGGGTATTACCCATGTATTCTTGCAAACTAAGCTGTATAGCTTAGGGTATTATATATTAGCTATATTAGCTGACATTTCCTTGAGGAAGGAAGATATCAGATTTTACTAGAAATGGAAAGCATGATTAAGTATCTTTAACATTTTAAAAGTTCAGCAGAAAAGAATACGTGTGACCTCAGATGTCTTAGATACCAAATTTTAACAGGTTAGATACCAGTCACCAATATATTGACTTTCCCGCCAAGTTTGTTTTTTCTTCAGATCTCAGCATAAAATTTCTCCAGAAATCTTTGTGTAATTGAAGTATATTCTCGAATTACATATTGAGCTGTTAAAAACCATTACCATTTACAACTGCTTACAAATGTGAATTGGAGTTTTCTCAATATTGAGTTACCAAGACAAAAATATAGAAATAAAGTGAATTCTAAGATTGATTTGATATGAGACCCTTGAATTCAACTTTTTTCTTAATTTAAGCCATTTTCATATTTTTATAAGTAAATATTGTTCATTAAAAGTTTAAATTTATACTTACAAAATATATTAATATTTTCAATTGTCTTACACATTGAATATATTTCATATAACCTTTCATTTGAAAATGAAGTCCAGTTATCTAGTCTGTTTCTTGATTTTTAGTTAATATTCAATTCATTTGAGTATTTGTTGAGCACCTTCTAAGTGTCAGACAGTTTGTTAAGTTCTCAGGATACAAAAATGAATAAACCAAATCCTGTCCCCAATCACATGAACCAAAAAAAATATTCTTCAGTGCAATCGGTAAGGGTATAGTAGTCAGCTGTGTCTGAGATTAGAAAAGACTTCGCTGGGTGATGATACGTGAGCAAAGTTTTGAAGAATGAGTCTGAGTTTGCCAGGTGGATAAAATGAGGAAAGGCATCTCTTACCAGTGAGAAAAATGTATGTTGAAGCACTGCAGCAAGAAACAACATGCTGCTTTTTGGGGAGTGAATCGCTGTGTAGACAGTATTAGTGGCAAGAGATGAGTTCTAGCTCTAGCATTTGTTTATGCTGGGCCACTTTTGCTAGATGAATTAGAGAATGCCTGACAAATGCAAATATATAAGCAGGAATATGAGTATAAAAGTTTGTTTTAAATATTCCCAGAAGGAATTAATCTTTCTCCCCTCTACTTCTATTCAACTTTTATGTCTATTAAACATGTACCATCAGCCACCTTGTGTTGTAATAGGAATATGTTTTTGCTCCCAACAGATTTTTGACCCTTCGTAGGTCAAATAAACTTGTGTTTGTAGTTCTGGTAAAAAGTAGATATTCTGTGAATAACTTTTGAATTGTTTTATTTTGACACTGGGGAGGAAGGAGAAGCTGCATTAGCAGCTTTTAAAAAGTTTTTAGGCCGGGCGCGGTGGCTCACGCCTGTAATCCTAGTACTCTGGGAGGCTGAGGCGGGCGGATTGTTTGAGCTCATGAGTTCGAGACCAGCTTGAGGAAGAGCGAGACCCCGTCTCTACTAAAATTAGAAAGAAATTAATCGGACAACTAAAAATACATAGAAAAAATTAGCTGGGCATGGTGGTGCATGCCTGTAGTCCCAGCTACTCGGGAGGCTGAGGCAGAAGTATCGCTTGAGCCCAGGAGTTTGAGGTTGCTGTGAGCTAGGCTGACGCCACGGCACTCTAGCCCAGGCAAAAGAGTGAGACTCTGTCTCAAAAAAAAAAAAAAAAAAAAAAAGTTTTTAAAATAATATTCAAAGAACTAGCTCCATTTGCTGTAGACCCAGTAGCACATTATTTAATAGAAAGAACGCTAAACTAAATAGGTTTCTATTCCAACTCCGCCTCTAAATTTTTTGACCTTTTGAAAATCATTAACCTTGCAAGTCTCACTTTCCATATCTAGAAAATGAGAGAATGAATTCTCAAGTATTATTTCTAGTCTATAATTTTATTGTTCAATTCTTGATAACAGCTTGAATGCTAGTTTTTTCATAATGTTTCATGGTTTGAAACTGTAAAAGGATTTCTTACTACTATTAATATTTTAAGACATTTGAGTTACGTTTTGATATATTAACCACACACCTCTGGCACCCAGAATGTAAAAAACTTTTTATGCTGTGATTTTACATGTTGGCTCTCTATATTTTACCTGTAGCGATAATAAATTATGTGATGTAGTAGGATATAATGTATCTCTTTTAAGGTAAATAATGCCTCATTTTCTGACGTAGATATTGTTCATGAAAATCTAAAAATGGGATCAGATGGTGAGAGTGACCAAGCTTCTGGGACATCATCTGATGAAGTCCAGTCACCGACAGGTGTTTGTCTCAGAAATCGTATACATAGACGGATCTCAATGGAGGTAATCATTTAAAAACTATAAACATACTGTGTATGTATGTCTGTATAGATAAGTAAACACACATCTAACAAACAGAGTAAATGCCCATTTGAAAATTTTCATGAAGGCAAATGACACTTGTAAGAGAGTTGTTTCTTTGCATTAGTGAATTGTAGTTTGTGAGTATTTCCTCTTTTCTAGTTACTATCCCAAGGCACGTATACATTAATTATAGTTCACATCTGTAAAAAATTATTTAAGGTTCTCTATTAGTGAGAAATGGATTTTTAAAAACTCAAGAATTATACATTAGCAAAGTTGTCTTTTTAGAAAATATGATTTTAATTTTATTTTTGAGAGCCATCTGGGTACTTCATATTTTATTTTATATATATTTTATTTCAAGTTTTAAGTATAAATAAAATAAGCACCAGCTTTTTTTCTTGTATTATATTATAAAGATGGGTATCCTTTCCTTTGTGGTCCATTATACCTACTAATCTCTGTAGCACATATAAGTTACTTATCCATGTAAAGGAATAAAAGAATTCATTTCCTTTTCTTTATCAATATTATGTTATAACCTTGAGGACAGAAGTTGATTATGACTGTTACCATATCAGTACATAGTATACATTAAAATAGTTTCCTGCAAAAAAATTAAACATGTTTTAAAATAAAAGGACCAGTATTATAACTTTTTTCAGTGCTGTTGAGACAATGCTGATCAGCTTGCTTGATTACATTTTTATTATTAAAGATTGCTTTTGAATCAGTTAAGAAAAATAATGTCAGTTTTCTAAATGATAAATTAGCATTTTTCAATGCTTGAAATCAACTTGATATCTTTTTATAACTAAATTTTATCACAGTAATAATAAAAATATTCCTTTTCTTATATAAATATGTATATCATATATAAGATTTTCAGTATCTTATGTTTAAAAGTTTTATTTAGTATTGGGTCTATATCTGGATTTTCTTATTCTTCATTGAGCTATAATTTGTTTTTTCCCCCCAAAGGTGACACATTTTATATTCTTTTTATAGTGTATTTTAATATTTGCAAAGACTTCCTTTCTCGCTTTCCTATGCACATATATATTCTTACTTATTGTAGAATATTTTTTGATACTTTTTTCTGTTTATTCTTCTAGATAAACTTTAGGCATTTTATTTTGTCTCAAGAATAATCTTATTGGGATTTGATTATGATTATGTAAAATATAAAATTAATATGGGGACCACCAGTATCTTTTCATTATTTA